AGAGGACCCCATTTCCTGGCCACATCAGTTTTCTGACCTAATACTCCTACCCTAATCCCCAAGCCACTTCCCCTCCTCTCCTTCCAACTGTTAACTCCTTCTGCACAGACAGATGACTGCCAGAATCCAGGCCCTGCCTCTCTTAGTTGCTGTGTGACCTTGGGCAAGTCACTTAGCCTCTCTGAGCCTCGCTCCCTCATCTCTAGAGAGGATAATCGACCCTGGAGGTCTGTCCTAAAGATGAGCTAATTCATAACTGAAATCATGCCCACAGATGTGTTCACAGGTGCTTGGACATAGTAGAGTCCCACAGGCCTGACCACATGGATGGGTTTGCTGTTTGGGCAATGGGGTAGGAAAGGAGGCTGCCATTAAACACTGACCTTCGCTTTTAAAGTTTTCCCAACAGCCCCTACCCAGTGCTTAGGTTGCAAGCCAAGCTCCCTGCCCTTTTTACATCACCACCCTATGATTTAAATACTGATTACCGGGGAGCAGGCAGGGGTCTCATGTCAGGCCTCCCTTCACCAAGTTACTGCATCTGAGACCCTGAAGCAGACATGGAGTGGAGGGGGAGGAGCAGGAGGGACCATACGTGAGGGCAGGGGAGGGGAGGGCCCCTTTGGAAGAGATTCGGGGAGAGTGGAGAAGACTCCTGGGTGAAGAGAGGCCAAGGGGAAGAGGGACATGTCCCCGAGGCCCTTCCTCTCCTCCACGGCTCACTCAGCAATCAGCTGGCCTGGCCTTCCACCCCTCTGAAAAGGAAGAGGAGCCAGCGGCAGCAAGTTACGAGAAACGATTACCTGCCGTTAATTAATTAAAATAAACAGCAAATTAAATACAGCAAAATTAAAATAGCACAGGAAATTAATTCTCTACCAGCCCCACCTCACAGGTAAGATGCTTAAAGGGCCCCTTGCAGCCAGGATCCAGGGGGGTCACCGGAACCTGCCTTACACCACGACTCCTGTCAAACCCAGACATCAGTGGCAAAACCCAGCTACCCACCGGCATTCACCCGGCTCTGTCTCCCCAAGATTGGCTTCCTGGCTCCTTCCCCCCATTCCTGAACCCAAGCCCTGCTCCTTGGTCAGTGGGTAGGAAGGCACATGGCCCACATCTACAATCACACGGGTCAGGACAGAAGGGAAGGGGGGCTCTGCCTTCTCTTCTGGGTCCCTGCTGGGGCTTGGAGTCAGATCCTGGCAAAGACCCCTCCCTTCACGGTGAGTGCCTGGCCCCTCATTTGGAGCACCCACAATTTCTCTCTGGGAAACCCCTCACTTTGCTCTTTCCTTTTCCTTGGAATGTGCAGGAAGAAAGCACTGCTGAGGCCCCGAATCCCAGGCCAGAAGATGCCCAGAGTCAGGCAGACCAACCCTTAGGACATGACACACGATTCCCTCCTATACAAGACCAACTGCCTCATTGTACAGATGGGGACACTGAGACCAAGGAGGGCCAAGACATTTGTTTGCCATCATCCAATGGCTTAGTAGCAAAGCCTGGAGCAGAATGTCTAATGGGCATGTTCCATGTCACCACCAAAGCGTGGTATTAAAAACAACAACACGCACACACCATGGTATTTTCTAGGGTGTAGCTCCGCTCCGTGCTGACATCCCTCTGAGCCTTGCCTCCTAATCCCATCCCACAACTCCCGACTCCCCCTTCTTGTGTCCCACAACACAAGAGCCACGTTAGACTCGTCAACCTGCCCTTGAGCTCTTGTTCACATGCTTCCCTCCCCCCGAAGCTCCTCCCCCACCTCTACCTGCCCAAGTTCGACCGGCCTCTTTAGGGTCCCACTCAATGCCTGCTCCTCCATGAGCCACCCAGAGAGCCCTGACCGGTGCTGCCTCACCCTCCTTTAACCTCCCAGGGTGCTTTCTCCCTCCCACTCCTATGCCTGGCCTCCCTGTTGCCTGTGTGAGCTGTGGTTTTCAGTGCATGAGCTTCCAGAAGCTGCAGACCATCTTGCCTTTGGGCCCAGCACCTGGCACTGTACCCAGCACTCAGAAGGTGCTCCGGCAATCTCCTCATCTGATGTCTCCCCGAGTCCTAGTGATCGCTGACAATTGGCTATCACTTATTAAGCATTTACTATAAGCCTGGCTCCTGCACTGTCCCATCCTCACATGATGGACCCCGCTCAGAGTCTATGGGACTCTGTCCAGGGTTACAGCTCAGGAACTGGAACTCCACCGGTTCTTGCTTCGAAATGAATCTCCTCCATCCTGCTTGCCTCTTCTAGGTCAGACCACCCTCTTCTCCCATCTGTACCACTAAAGCCTCTCCGCTAGCCTCCCTGCCTCCGTTCTCTCCCCACCCTATCCTGTCACTAAAGACTTCCCGTGACTCCTTGTGGCCCACTGGACAAGATCCAAACCGCTGAGCATAGCATCTAAACTCGGGGACATCCGGCCCGTTTTCTTTGCAGCTTCTCTTCTAGTCTCTGCACATCACCCTATCTTCCCAGCATAGCGGGGTGGGCAAAAGTAGGTTTACAGTTGTTTATATGGAAAAAGATACGCAGGTTATGATGATTACAATAGCTTTATTAACCATTTCATGTACTCACAAGTGTAGACCTACCTTTGCCTACCCCTAAATAATAGTTTGATTCATTTCCAGGCTTTGCATATGCTATTTTCCTCTGCCTGGAAGACCCTTCCCGTATTTTTCCTACACATTCTTCAACATCCCAAGACCAAAGGATACCTTAGAATCTAATCATACTAGTCAAGCAACAGACAGAACTGGTCACAAAATTGAGAGCTGTATGAAGGAAGGGCCTGAGTCACCACAGTATCCCCAGAGCTTAACACAAAATCAATGCTCGATCAACATTTGTTGAATGAATAAGTGAATGTTCCATATATAACTGTTGACTAAACAGAGAGATGACAAGGCCACAGAATGCGGGGCTGGAGGTGGAGGGGAAGCGGCTGAGGCCAGCAAGGCCAAGGACGCAGTGGGAGCAGGGACAGATGCTGCCAGGGCCGCTCTGCCGCAGAGCACACGTCTGGCAGGGGGAGTTTGTGAGAGACAGTGATGGTGTGAGGGAGGTTCTCTGTGTGTGTGCGTGCGCACATGTGTGAGAAAGTGGTGAGGATGCGTGTGTGTGTGTGTGTGTGTGTTGCATTTGGGAATTAGTCTGTGAAAGAGAAGGTGAGGAGGTACCTGAAGGAGGGCATGGATGTGTGCGGGGATGATCCGTGAGAGATGAGGGTGTGGAAAGCCGATGTGTATTATCTGTGTGGGGGTCCGTGTAAGAGAAGGTAAGGGTGCATGCCACGAAGGCAGTGTGTATGTGCTGCAGACTGTATATGTCTACTTGGGGGGGTGAGTGAGAAAGATAAGGGGACACCTGAGGGGGGTGTGGGTGAGAAATTTCAGTGTGTGGGTATGTGGGAGTGCTAAGAACATGTGCAGAAGTGGATGGTGTGCCTGTGAGAGCATCCAATGGGGAGGGTAAGGTAAGAAATGTCAGGGCTCTGCTGAGGGTGTGGCTGCCATGGCCTCGGTCACGGGCCCAGTGCCAGAGGTGGGGGCTGGCCCTGGGCCCGGGGCGGGGGGGGCTCTGACTGAGCAGAAGACTCCTCAGTGTTCCTCCTGGAACCACAGGCACCAGATTATCATATCCCCAGGCAGGGAGGTCGAGGAGGAAGCCCAGATGTGTGTGCGCCTTACATCTGTCCACAGCAAAACCTCTGGGCATTTATTTGTCTTTGTCTGTGTCCGGGTGTGCACGCCTGTGCTTGTATGCGAACTGCCGCTGTGTGTCTGTGCCTGCCTTTGTCTCTGTATGTATCTAGGCCTTTGTCTCAGTGTGTGTGGCTGTTGGTCTATGCCTGTCTGCATGACTGTGTCTGGTTTGTGTGTGGCTAAGTGTGTCTGTGTCTAAGGGGTACTGTGTGTCCTTGATCTGTGCATGTCTAAGCAGGGCTGCGAGCATCCCCCTGGATGCCTGTGTATTTGTGCGTCCACGTGGCCTTAGCGTGAATGGGGGAATGTTGTGCTTTGAGGCTGTGGGTCTAGATTTCGGTGTTTGTGTCTCTGTGTGGGAGACTCTGCCATATACTGTAGTAGGAAAATTGTTATCTGTATCTGTGGGATATATGCTTGTGAGACCAAGGATATGTGTTGTCTCTGTGCCTCTGTGTGTGTGTGTGTGTGTTGGGTGTGAGGGTGTGAGGGGTTTGTCACAGACTGGTGAGCAAGTTAATCTCAGACTCCATGACACGTGGAATAAAATCACGCTCCCATAATGGGATCATTCGTCTTCCTGTCCAAGGAGAGAACCAACTCTTCACCCTCCACCCTGGGGGAGCCAGTGGGGCCAGGGCCAGGCATGGGCCCCCACCCAGGCCCACTCTGGTCTCAGCACCCCGCCCTTACCCCTCCTCTGCTGCACCAGGCCCGTCCTGCCTCCAGAGTGCCCTAGTGCCCACTGCGGGCTGGGCTGGGCTCCAGGACATGTGACCAAGCCTTAGAGGCCTGTCCTGGGCCCCCCAGCCCCACCCACTGCCGAGGGCCCTGCCCCAGATGGGAGGGGGGTACAGGAAGGACTCTCTGGGCCCCTCCTCCTCCCGGAGGGGAGGGATGAGCTGCAGGCCCAGCCGGGATTTTCCATCTCTCAGCAACAAGATTCCTGGTGAGCAGGCTGCAGGGTTTGGCAGGGTGCCTGCTGGAGACCCGCCCTCACCCGCCAGGATGCCTGGGTCCCCAGGGCCAGGCAGCAGTCAGTTCCCTGGGGAGCTAGGAGGGCCCCAGAACTCTCGCCTGCTGCTGCCCAGGCCTGTGGGAAAGCCAGACCCTTCGAGGCTCCTGCTCCCAAACAAAGATGGCTCCCCAGCAACCAGGCAAACCACTACCCTTCCCCTGGCCTCCCCCCAACCTCAGCCTTTGCTTTAGAAATCCATCAAAGGCCAACCACCCAGCACCACCCCTCCCCGCCTGAACCTCAGCACACACCCAGCCTGGATTCTAGACCTCACCTCTGGGTTTGAGGGCTCCCAAGGCCAAGGCTGTGCTTCTCTCAGACTGGGGCTTCTGAAGACAGGGCCATGTGTCCTGCAGCTGCGCAATCCCTCTTGGTCTTTGTGCTCCTTCCTGAATGAGCAGACAGGTACCAGGAGAGAATTTCAAACCCCAGGTTGAGGAAATGGAGGCCTCGAAGCCCTATCTACCACTGTGAGTCAGAGGTCACATCCAGTGGTGGACACACCAGGTCTTTATCCTACCCAACTGCAGTGGCTGCACTCTTCCTTCCCCACAGGGGTGCACGTGTGCAATTTCAGAAGTGGGTGAGCACCCGTTGGAGGGAGAGGGGAATGGGCAGGTGGACTCCCTTAACCCCCGGCCTTGGATGAGCAGCTGGGGGGCAGGTTTGGTAAGAGATTAAGGTGGAGGAGGAGGAAAACTGAGAGGGTCCAAGATTTATGAGCTTAATTCTTTCCCCTTAAATTCCCCTCCAAGCCCCCCAGCACCAGCCTGGTCCTTCCAGGGTCATGCTGTGGCCCCAGGCCAATATCAAGGCCCTAACCCATCCATCAGCTGTTGCTAGGGAGTTTCCACCCCAATGAGTTCCAAAAGGAGGGGCTCAACTGACACTAGGAGCCCAGATGGATGGGGAGGGGGCATGGCCTAGAGGTAGTAACAGCACCCTGCACCCTGCACTCTCCCAGGGCTGAGGGCTCACAACCTCCAGGGAAGAAGCAAGGTTGGTGGGTGGGGCCCAGGAGGAGGTACCTCCCAGCCCTGGTACCACACCCAGCCCCGCCCTTTCAACAGGCAAGGAGACCTGGGATCCCATGGGGCCCTGCAGCTCACAGGGTGTGTGAGCTTGGGCGGCTGCTGCTCCTCTCCAGGCCTCCCCACTGCATGAAGCAGGAAGTGGCTCAGAAATCCCAGGTGTCCCCCCCCGCCCCTTCAGCTCAGCTCCCTCAGCACTAAGCCCTGCCCTCTCTCTAGTCCAGGGGTGTCACCCAGAATCTGGGCCAGATGGGGTGAGGCTGCAGCAGCTACCTGGAAAAGTCCCTGAAGCCACCCAAGTCAGAACTGAAGAACCTGTGGTGGTTACCCCTTCGCTACGCATCCATTTTCCAGAAAAGAGAAGCTGAAGCTCTGAGAGAGTGTCTGGGTCTGGACCAAGGCCTCAGTTTTGCTGGTGGTTAAGAGTAGAAAGAACAGCCCCAACCGGTTTGGCTCAGTGGATGGAGCGTCGGCCTGCGGACTGAAGGGTCCCAGATTCGATTCCGGTCAAGGGCATGTACCTTGGTTGTGGGCACATCCCCGGTAGGAGGTGTGCAGGAGGCAGCCGATCGATGTTTCTCTCTCATCGATGTTTCTAACTCTCTATCCCTCTCCCTTCCTCTCTGTAAAAAATCAATAAAATATATTTTTTTTAAAAAGAGTAGAAAGAACAGAAAGACCTGGATTAAAATTCCAGAAACCTGTTATGTGAGGTCCCTTGTCTTCTCTCAGCCTCAGATTCCTCATCTGCAAAATGGGTAACAGTGCCTCCCGCCTACAACTGTTAAGTTGACATGAGAAAATGCATGTAAGGGCTGGGCACCGTATAGCGAGCATTTGCACAGTGCTAGTTATCACGACTGTGGGTAGTGCTAGCATAAACCCAAGTGGCCAAGGTAAGGGGGGAAATGGCTCATCCTCCAGCCAGATCGGGACCTCCAGGGTCTCAGCCCAGAAGGGCCAACCAAATTCCTCGAAGCCCCCAGCGGCCTCCCCTATTCGTTAAAGGACTCTCATTAGTGAGCCTGGGCACCTGCCCCTCTGCACATAATAAGCCTCATTAGTATCTTAGCCCCAAGCTCTGTGCCCAGAATCTATGTCTGTGCACACGCATGAGGGTGGGGAGCTGCAACAGGCCACCAGCCGGGAGACAGCATCCTCGGCAATCACACCCCCTGCCTGTCATCGGCAGGGCCCGTCACCCAGCTTGTCACCTGCCTGCCTCGCACCCGCACCACCTGTCACCCACCCAGCTCCTCACCCACCCAGCCCATCACCTGCACCACCTGTCACCCACCCAGCCTGTCTCCAGAGCTGCCTGACAGGCATCTGGGTGGGGAGCAGGAGATGGGGAGGAGAAGACCACAGGGGTGTGGAGCTGGGGGCCCCAGAGACCCTGTAGGACCCCCACTTCAGCTCAGCATCCTGCAGCATCGCCATGGCAACCTCTCAGCCCGCAACCACTTTCCCAAACATCCCCCGCCCCCCCCCCCCCCCACCCCACCCCTGCCACCGGAACCGCCCCCCCCCCCCCCCCCCCCCCAAGCCCTGCTCTTAGCTGAGCTGAGCTGAGAAGAGCCTGAGTGACAGCAGAATGGGGCAGGAAGGAGGTGTTCATCAGCTGCTTGGCCTTGGCCATCCTTCCCTCTTTGGACTCGGTTACTCCATCTGCAAAATGGAGGGGCTGGGGTGGGTGAGGCCCCTGTAAAGCAGGTCACCCTTCTCCAGCCTGAATTCGCATGAGCCAGATGCCAGTTAACCTGTGAGGGCTGGGAGGTGGGACAAAGGGACAGGAGTTTCTGGGTTCTTCCACACTCCTTTGCCCCTGGTCCAGCCCAGAGAAGCTGGGCCTCTGACACTAGCTCACACAGCAAAAGAGGAAGAGTAGGCTGGAAGGGAGGGGGCTCTGCCACAGGACTGCCAGCTGGAGACATCACACGGGGTGACCCAAGGTGACCGGGGCTGAGTTGGCCCCCACCTCGGAGCTGCATTATTTATAAAACCCAGAGCCTGGAGCTGAGCAACAGCTGCAGTGCTGCCCCTCCAGGGGGCACATGCCACAGTGGAATGGAGAAGACAAGGTGCCTCTTCAGGGAAGGCCCCTAGGGTCCCTGGCTCCCTCCATGGCTGGCGAGGGCAGGGGCTGAGGTGGGAGAGGGGCAGCAACCCATCCTTCCTCTCCCGCCCTATCCTCTCCACTCCTCCAGCCAGGCGGCGATAGGATTACTTCTGCATGACTGCCTGCTCCACGGGGTTCCAGAGACCCTCCTGCCTGCAGCAATCTTTAAAATTCCTCCAGCCCAACCTCGCTCCCTTTCTCCCAGAAGTGAATGCTCCAGCCTCTACCACAGTGTGCCCGCCGATGCCACCACTAAGCAGGCTGGTGCCCATGGACAAAGGAGAACCCATCCTCAGGGTGTAGCCTCATGTCCCTCAGAACCCTCTGAGGCCCAGGCCCTAGCCCATCCCCTCTAGCCCCTGGTACTGGTCCAGCCCCACAGAGTATGGCTGAAGCTAGGGTCAGGCATGCCAGCTGTGCCAAGGTGGATGAGCAGATACGTGCAAACACACTTGGTGGATCTTGGCATGCCTGGCCGTGTCCTCTGCTGCCAGAACCTGGCTGCCCCCACTCAGCTCTGACCAACCCCTCCCTACTTCACCAATCCCTGCTACCCCTGGGGTGGGCAGACAGCTGGGCCAGCGCCTGTGGCTCCCCAGGGTACAAGAGGCAGGCAGGAGATCGATCCACTGAATTTTTCAAGGCTCTAATGGAGCCTGCATCCTAGGACTTGGGGCCTGGGACACAGGGGGTGTCTTGGGGACCCCTCCCTCAGCATTGCAGTTGCTGCATCTGTCAGGTATTGGGGGTCAGGGGAACCTTTCTCGGAGCCTTCCTCCAGCAACAGATGTGGCACGAGAAGCCCCTGGGAAAGAGATGGTATTGGGGGGGAGGCTGTGAGCAATACCCAGAGGCCCCCCGATTTCCCCAGCCCTAATGCGGGCAGAAGCAGCTCAGCCTCTAAATCACTCCCCTCATGCTGCCCTCTGAGGCGGATTCTGTGCATCTGTAATTAGGGGGTGGAACAGATGGTGGAGATTCCGTTTAAAATCATGCATCTAGTCAAGTAACCTTCACTGTCGGAACTGACTCCCAGGGAGACCAAGCCCCAAGCCCGGATGGGGGGGGGGGAGCATGTCAAGCCAGCACCTTCATGGTCTTTTTTTCCTGCAGCCCCTGTCCCTCTCAGGTGAGCTGGGGCGGGGGCGGGGGAGGGGGAGGTTGGCAAGCGCCCGAGAAAGCACAGGCTGGGGGTAAATCCCCTGCCCGCCCCCCCCACATGCCACAGCCAGGGCAGAGCCAGGTACTCCAAGTTCTTGGCTGAGAGACCAGAGTGACCAGGTGCCAAGAGCCCCCAAAGAGGCCCCAAGCCCCCAAAGCCCAGGCCAGGGTGCCCTGAACACAGGGTCTTGGGTGGGGCAGCTTTGAACCAGATGTACAGCCTCACTGTCCAGGAATGAAAGGCCTGGGGCAGTGACGGGGGTGAGATGCCTCCCCAGGCAGAGGAGGCTCTGGGAAGTGGGGGAGGTCTGGGAAGCCGAGAAAGAGAGAGAGCACACAAGAGTGAGGGATTGTGTGTGCAAGGCTAAGGCTGTCTGGGGAGGGGGTTAGTGTCGGGGAGAACAAGGTGGAGAGTGCTAGGAGGAGGGTGTGCTGGAATGTGTGATGGTGGGAGTGAGGGCTGCAGTCAAGCTGAGGTGGGGTATGGGCAGGGGGAGGTGAGGGTGCAGGGTTGTGACTGAGCTGAGGCTGTATGTGTGTGTGAGTGTGGGGTCGGTGTTTGGAGAGGTGCGCGTGGGCTGTCCCTGGGCTCAGGTGGCTGAGGAAAGTTGTGGAGCTTGTTGGGATGTACAGAGGACTGCCTTTTTGAGGGGGTTTTGGGTCTGGATGGGGAAAGCAGGTGTGTAGGTGTGTGTGTGTGTGTGTGTGTGTGTGTGTGTGTGTGTGTTGTGTGTGTGTGTGTGTGTGTGTGTGTGTGTCTGGGAGAGTACAAGAAACTGGGGGGAAGTTAACTGTTTAGAGATGTACTAGAACCGCAGCCATCAATGTCTGTGTGTCTGAGGTAACTGGTGCGGCTACAGGGGGTGTTCTCATCTGAATGGGTGTGGAGGCAGTCAGTGTGCCGATGTGTATGGGGGGGCTGTGTGTTTGGAAAGGTGTAGAAGGCTGGACAGACGTGTTTGGGGAGGTGCTGGGCTGCAGCTGGGGGAAATGCTGGGCTATCGGGAGAGTCCGTGTGCTAGTGAGGTGGTGGGACGCTGAGAGTCTGCGTGTGTGCAAAGTGTCAGGGCCGCAGCGGAGTCCTGGGTATATCTGGGGAGGAGTTGGGGTTGGAGAGGGAGTCCATGTGGCTGAAGCTATGTGCGTGCGTGTGTACATTGGGATGTTTCGGGGTATATTGCGGGTCATAAAAATGTTTGTTTTGGTTAAACATTAGGGTTGCAAATATCTGTGTGGGTAGGCATTTATGTGGTGGTTGTGTGTTTAGGGGCATGTTCGGGCTGTGTGCGATATGGGCCAGTGGGATGTCAGGTGTTCTATGTGCAGCGACTGTGTTTGTGGAGGGACTGGGCTGTGTGTGTTTGCAGGTGGAGCAGCTGTGTGTTTAGGGGTGTTGGAGCCGTGTGTGTGGAGCAGTTTTATATATTTGGGAGGTGGTAGGGGCTGTAGTTAGTGAGGATGGGTGCCCCTCTGGGGAAATGAAGAGCTGAATCCTGGCCTCTGTTCAGGCACCCACTGGGGGGCTGCCAGATTCAAGCCCTCTACCTTACCGGGGGT